TTCCCAAGTACTGTCGGCACAGATGGTTGCATTGAAATTAAGTAGTGTTGTAGTAACAATACAAACAAATTTGTATTTTCCCTTGGGGTTTAGCAACCCCAGATTTTTAAATTCTCTCCTGCTGGTACCTTATAAATAGGACATCCAGTCAACCTTTTAAAGGGGGCTGCTGGTTAATGCAGTGATTCTCAACTTTGGGGTTTCAATATCTTTGGCCAACCACTGTCCCCCAAAATATTTACATTATAGTTCATAACAGTGGCAGAATTACAGTTAGGAAGTAGCAGCAAAAATAATTTTATGGTTGGGAGTCACCACAACATGAACTGTATTAAACTGTAGTAAAGGGTGTAGCACAAATAATAAAAACCCAGAGACAGATACTGGGGTTCAACCTGACGGTCAGAAAAGCAAAGCTCTTATCTCTACCTGAGACTGAAAATGGGTGAGATCCTGTCTTCATGAATTCTCAAGACTCCACACCCCACACTTCACAGAGTTCCTGTCTCTTTCCCCTTATATTCCTCTCTCCGCCCAGCCATATCACTTGTCTCCGTCTCCCTAGTGCTGGGATTAAAGGCGTGGGATCCCAACTACTGCTGGGATCACCTTCTGTAATACAAGGGCCTGCTTGTTGGGGGTTTCTGTCTGCCCCGTTCCCCAGCTGTTTAGTCCCAGAGAAAATCACACAGAGGTCTCCATAAGTTATAAACTGATTGGCCCATTAGCTCAGGCTTTGTAGTAGCTCTTATAACTTATATAGCCCATTATTCTAGTATATGTTAGCCACATGGCTCGGTACCTTTTTCAGCAGAGCAGGTCACATCCTGCTTCTTGGGTGTCTGGACAGGACTGCGGAAAGAGCTTCCTTCTTCCCAGAATACTCCTGTTCTCATTATCCTGCTTCTATTTCCTGTCTGGTTACCCTGCCTATACTTCCTGCCTGGCTACTGGCCAATCAGCGTTTATTTAAAACATAATTGACAGAATACAGAATTGTCCCACTCCAACCTTCCTATGAGCTCTGTTTCTCTTTTAGACAGATTCAGTCTTGTGTAGCCCTGGGTGGCCTTGAACTCACCGAGATCCCTCAGACTCGGTCTCCTGGGGTCTGGGATTAAAGGTGTGTGCCACCACTCTGTGGCCTGTGTGATTGACAAGTATGGCTGCTTTGCCCTCTGATCTTCAGGCAAGCTTTATTTATTAAAACACAAATAATATACCGCTATGGGAAGGTTGGGGACCTGCAGATGTTGGTGATGGACCTACTCGGGACAGAGGGACTTTGATTTTTTTCCCCTCTGGGGTGCGTTCTGTTTTCTGTTTTGTCTTTGATTGAGACAGGGCTTCACTATGTCGCCGAGGCTGGCCTCCTGCTCAGCAGTCATCAGGCCTCGGCTTTCGTGGCGGTGGCGGTACAGGTGCATGCTATCACACATTGCTTCCGGGAACCCTTCTGCAAAGCTGAGGCCAGTAGAAACCAGTGCAGCGTTTATAAGTCACCTGACCAATGTCTCGTTTTCCCTCTAAAACAATACAAGGTAAAGAAAGAGACATTTTCCAGCTCCATAACTAACTAAAGCTCTCTACAGTCACTCGTGTGCTTCCGATACAGATCATAAAAGGCTCATAAATGAGCTCCCCTTTCCAGAGCAAACTGTTAAACTGTTAAGCATTTGGCATATAGCTTCCAGATTTTTTCTAAATATATTTTAAGACATTTTCTCTTGCCAGATTGATCCCTTTTACACAATTGAGGTTTAATTAGTGTGTTGAACCACACATTCATTTGCTGAAATGTTTTCAAATTGTACTTAAAACATTTTGCACTTGAATAGTTTAGCATCAATCTCTTAAATAAGAATATTCTTTTGTAAGTCCCGGTGTTATTATCACTCCTGAAAAACAGATTCAGTATCTAATATGTAGTCTATATGTCAACTTACTTACTGCCCCTCTGCACTCTTACAGATTTTTTCAAAATCTGTAGTTGGACATTTTACTTGGTTGTCACACCCCTCCAGCACCGTCTCCTCTTTTGTGCATGCCTGCGTGTGTGATATGCATGTATGTGTATGCACATGCTTGCATGTGTGCATGGAAGCCCAAACTTATCTCGGGAGCCTTCCTTGATCGCTCTTCATCTTAGGTGTTGAGGCAGGGTCTCCTACTTGAACCCAGGGCTCCCTGATTTGGGAATCCTCTCCCTGTCTCCTGAGTGCTGGGATTATAGTTGGGCCAGGACATCCGCTCAGTATTTCTGTGAGTGCTGGAGCTCTAAACTCTGCTTCTCATGCTTGCCTGGTAACCACTTGACCTATGGAACCATTTCCCATGCTCCTGTCTTTTTTCCTCCCTCCCTTCCTCCTTTCCTTCCTTCGACTTTTATTTTAAAGAGGCTAGCTATCTTATATAACCAACCAAAGCCTGGATTTTCCAAAGTTTTTCCAATAGTAAATTAGGTACCATACTATATGCGGTCTTCCCAAATACATGAAATGTTAGTCAAGGTGGACATGCACTTGGCCGTAACTAAACACTACCCCCCTCTCCAACACAACAGGTTGCCAGGATCTACAGCAGTAGCCTGAGCAGTGCTGACGGCTCCATACCATCACCCTCATCAGGGGACAGAGACCCTTAGGTTGTCCTGACTAGTGTGTGGGGTCCTGAGACAATGTAGAAGGAGGGATTATTTTGGGTCATGACTTCAGTCCATGCTTGCTTGGTTCCATCTCCTTGGGCCTGTGGTGGGCTGAGTGTCATGGTGGGAAAAGAATAGTGGACCCAAACTGTTTATTTCGTGCATCAAGGATGTAAGGTGAGGAGGGGCCAGGGTTCCAATATCTCTTTAGAGGACACATCCCAGTTACCCAGTTTTTTTGCACTGGGCTCCACCTCTGAAAAGTTCCTCTACCTCCCTATTGGGAGGTACTATTGGGATGCACTATTGTGCATCAGGCTGGGGACCAAGCCTTTGGTATAGTTAAGGGTGGGACGAGGGGACATACATTTAAGATCCAAAGCAGCGGTAAGTGAAAAGGGTTCTGCATGGGTGGAGCATGGACGGAGTGCCAAGAAGACCCTGAAGTGTTGGTGTTGGTGTGTAGGGGATGTTAACACAGTCCCGTGTCTGTCACAGTGCATCACCTTGCAACCGTGTCCTGTTCCTGCAGGGACATCACTCGTCAATAAGGTGCCCCCAAAAGTGTCTGTGTGGCTCCTCTGAGAGCCTTCTTTCTCTAGCCCCACGCCAGCTGCTCAGGTGATGGTCTGGGGTAGTGACGTTGGTGAAAGTGGGTGGCAGCCAGCGGGGAATCGTCAGGGGAGTGGGACACACAGGTGGCTGTCACTGCTCACACTAGAGAGTGGCTAATTGCCAGGCTGGGCCGAGAGGTGTTTGGTTTTCTTGGTTGCGGCTGGGGTTAAGGTCATTCCGGGAAGAATGGGTACCCTATGTCTATATAAAAGGCAATTTGTGGGGGGCCACCAAGCTCAGCTCCTACAAATTAGTCACCCCAAAGCTTAGGTGTCATGGAGCTTTGTTTACATTTCATAATTCCACCCTCCCTTGCCACACTGGATCGGGCCGAAGGTATCTCATGGAAGCAGGATGAACCAGAGGCCACTAGGGTCTTCAAGAGAAACCCGTGGACTGAGACATACAGAAAGCCTCTCTTGGACAAGCTGGACATCCCAGGACAGGACCATCTGGCCACTGATTTGGCGGAGGGTTTAGCTAGGTGCCGACGCATTTCCCGCTTCAGTCTAGCTACAGAGTGAATGACTTACCAGTGACCCGAAGAGCCCTAACTATCTGAGGAGTTGAACCTGTGGGTTCTGTGGGCCTGAGTTCAGCTTCTAGTTTCGGGAGCGAAGTGCAGGCTGGTATTGGGTTTCTGTCTAGGTTTTGTTTTGCTCTGATGGAGCTGGGTGGACAAGTGGCCCTCTGTGATGGGGTCAGTGTTGATGACAGCCTTCACTGGGGTCCTAGAGTGAGAGGATACTGCATCCTCAGCCTGGCGTGAATAACAGTGTTCCGCACTGCTCCCCCAATGTGCCAAAGCCAGGAGCGGCGTGGGACTTGCACAATGTCAGCGGCAACTTGATGTCTGGGACAGTCTTCCAGGGGGCCCCAGGATGGACTGGGATGGGTGTGGGTCCTGCCACGAAGTGGATGAAGGGTTGAAGTGTTCTGGGGTAACCTTGAGGTTAGGAGATACTCTCAGATGGGGAATCGTGCAAATAACCACGTAGTTACAAGGCTGACATCACTTAGTAGACAGGTAGCTTATAGGCTGTAAAGGGAGTCACTGTGCCCCTCTTGGCCTCCAAGTCTTCAAGAGAAATACCACCTGTGTCACAGAACCACATGGTCCAACCAGCTCATGGCACAGGCTTGGTCAATGGGAGTCAGAATCATGACATAAAAGACCCAGGACAGGGGATGGGGGCTGACCCTGTAAACCAAGGGAAATGCAGGCACTCGGCCTTAACTAAGAGACACCCACCGGTGGAGGGGCCAAGCTAACTAGTATCTGCAGTGATCCTGGGATGCTACCCGCATGAATGAATTCAATACTGTGCACTATGTCACAGCAGGAACCATTGCTGGGCCCATTGTACAGATGGAGAAACTAAGGAATAGAGCTGCTTGCCCAAAGACACACAGATAATGAAGGACAGAGCTCAGTAGTCTATGTCTTCATGCAAGCAAGTACTGATGGCCACAGAAGAATTTTCTGACCAGCGGGGACGGGAGCAAGGGGACAGGTGGTGACCAATGCCACTTACTGAGATGATGTGTCTCTGAGTAACGGTTAGGTGGGGGATGACCACTCAGTCTTCTCTGTGCCCAGCCACAGATTCTGTTTACCTTCTCCCCCCACCTTTTTTTTAACCCCCCCAACAAAGGAACTGGTACAGGTCCTTAACTACAAGCTTTCTCGCAAAGACGTAAACAGAATCTAGTGGAGGCCCTAGACAACTTGGTGGCTGCCCTAAAGCCAGATTCGAGATTTCCTTGCACTGAGGTTGCTGAGTGCATCCTGGACGACCTCTATTAAGTGTTCCAAGTCAGACAGGCTCAGGAAATTCAGACCCCTGCTTATTTTTCCCAGAAGGGCCTGGATCTTCCACGATGTTGGGCCGGGCTCTGTCTCCAGGACCGCCTTCTTCTTCATGGCTTGAAGCAGTTTCAGCTTTATAGACTGGGGGTACACAGAAGGCTGGGTGAGGGTCAGTGCTGCCCAGATGCCATGCCCCAACCCAGGACTTAGTCCAATGAACGTCTCTGGAGCTTTGCCTTCGAGGGCCGATCTCATTCCCCGGTCCTGCTGCCTTATTTCCCAACAGGGCTGCTGTGCACAAGTGAAGCAGTGTGTGTTGACGGCATGAGCCTGCTCCACAGGAAGCATTTGGGGTGCTGCTTTCTCTGGTGCGCAATGCTGAGGTGCTGGCATGCTATGTGAACGAGGCTGAGTGTGAGGAAGAGGAAGGTGATAGGTGGTTGCAGTAGTTTGAATGAAAATGGCCTCTGTGTCAGTTTCTGCCTCCAGCTTCGTGCCCTGCTTGAGTTCCTGCCCTGACCTCCCTCAGCGATGAGCAGTGATGTGGAAGTGTAGGTCAAACAAACCCTGTCCTCCCCGTGTGGCTTTGGTCATGGTGTTTTGTCACAGCAATAGAAACAGTAAGACAGGATTGTCATCTTGATTGGACTGAGAATCACCTTGGAGATTACTAAAGCACACTTCTGTGTGGGTGGCAGCGTCTTTAGATGGGGATTAATGCCTTGATGGATGTGGGATATGATGACATTATTGATGGGGTGATGAAGGGCAGGAGGTGCCGTCTAGCTGAAGGAGTAGGTCACCAGGAGCGCACTCTTGGGGAACGGTACATTTTCCCTCACCCTGATCCTTTCTCATGTTCCCCTTCTCTGAATTCTGGTCAGGGCTGTAAAGACTTTACCTTGAACCTGGTACCCATGTTTATGCAAATCCTCCTCCTTTTGGGGACAAAGAAGCAGAAGATGACCTTGTCCTGGCTCCTTATTTGTATATGGACATACTTGTTGAGTTTCAACGTGATGCACATCACAGGTGGTGCGTGCACGTGGAAGTTCAGGTCCCACCAGTTCCACACCTTCTGATGCCGACCTTCGGGGAAGTAGTAGCCCAGGAATTTGCTCAGGCTCAACCTGGGGGAAGGAGATGGGTCAGAAGTCATGTCTACTGCTGGATCCTGGGACCCATCCCTCCTGTATCAGGGTCCCTGGTCCCCTCTGATCCTTCCACTATCCCTTCTCTGCCTGGGTCCATAAGGTTTTGGTGAGTGTGTTGGCTAGTTTTATGTCACCTTGACACAAGCTATAGGTCATCTAAGAGGTTCCCTCAACTGAGAAAATATCTCCGTAAGATTTGATTGTAGGCAAGCCAGTAGGAAGTTTTCTTAATTAACAATTCATAGGGGAGGGCCTAGTCCCTTGCAGGTGGTGCCACCTGTGGATCGGTGGTCCTGGGTTCTATCAGAACACGGAGTGAGCAAGTCATGGGGAGCAAGCCAGTAAGCAGCACCCCTTCATGACTTCTGCATCACCTCCTGCCTTCAAGGTTCCTGCCCTGTTTCGGTTCCTGTCTTGATTTCCTTTGATGGACAGTGATGTATAAGTGAAATAAAGACTTCCAAACTTGCTTTTTAGTCATGGGGTTTCATTGCAGCAGTGGTAACCCTAACTAAGACAGAGGGATAGAGAGGTCCCAACAAGGATTGTGCAGCCAAGTCCAGGCTCTGTCTTTCAATCCAGACATGGCTTCCCATGATCCCTTGAGAGCTTTGCAGCACTGTTCTCCACCCTGTGGATCCCAGGCCCACGGTGTGGAATCTTGAGGATAGGGGTCAGCTCTCACTCCTCCCTTCGGGTGTTGGCAGACCTTGGGGTTATAGCTGCTATTTGATGCCTTTTAGACCCCCTTTTCATCAGGAAGCGTAAATGGCCTAAGATCTTGTGCCTCAATTTTATATACAACTCAGGGGAAATGACTGCCATCTTTTGGGTCCAAGTTTCTTCACCTACAGTGACCATATCCTGGATTCCTTCAAGTTACCTTCTGTCCTTAAAACTTTAGAGTTAAGAGACCCCGCTGCATGTCACCAGACAAGATTTGTGATAGTTAACTGTGTTTCTTGCCTCAAAGCCCCGAGCTTCCTGTATCCAGGACCTGACTTTGCAGACAGCATGTTCTACACATGTGACCATCAGAGGAGAGCAGATCATAAGGAAACCAACCAGGAGATGGCATTTTAAAGTCAAGGCCAGATCGATGAGAGTAGACTTTTAGAAATAAAAGGACACCTTGTTTTGATGAAAATAAGTTAACCCAAGATAATATGTTTCTCCCACATGGTAATCACTTCATCTGGAACAAGAAGCACTGAACACCCAAGAAAGGTTGAGAGGGATAATTTGAGGGGACCTTGTAACCTTGAACTGGAAAGGGAAAACTTCCACCATTACCAGAACTAGTGACTTAAGAAACAAGTTTATTCTGCGAGTTCGAGGCCTGCCTGGTCCACAGAGCTAGTTCTAGGACAGCAAGGACTGTTACACAGAGAAACCCTGTCTCAAAAAAATCAAAAAACCAAGTTTGATCTTAATGAAATATTTAGAATATGCCTTTTGACTCTGGATTCTGTATATGATGTGTGTGTCCCTAAGCCCCACTCCCAGATTCCTGAAATAGTGCACCCCAGGGCCTTCTGGGGGCAGTTCTCACAAGGTTGGGAGGTTTAGAGGTGAAGTCAGTGGCTTGTGGTCATAGAGGCCAGGATGGCTCTTTCACTCTGGGGGATGCTGTGGCATCTTCCCTGAGGGCAGGGTCTGTACTAGTTCTTCGTGACACCCCTTCTCAGGTTTCCAACGTGCACAAGTTAGGAGACAGGGAGCAGACTTCCACCATACAGCTTCCACATGGCCCAAGTGGTGGCGACTCAAGTCTCACACTTACCAGATCTCCCCGTCCTCATTGTAGAAGGTGGCATGGCCAGAGTTGGTGACTAAGCCTCGGATCTTCCTTTCTACACAGTCTTCCAGAACAATGTATGTGACCTTGGAGACTCCTTTGCAGGCGATCAGCAGAGCCAGATTCCCTGATGGGTAGCTGCGAGTTGGTTAAGGCACAAGCAGCCTCTTGGGACAAGCCCTCTCTCCCAAAGAAAGGTTAGGCACCAAAGAGGACACAGTTCTCAGTCAAAACATATATGCTAGGCCAGAATCACGAACATTTGAAGTGTCAACACGAGCATCCCTTCTTCCCCAGTGGATACTATATTTGGCCCGTGCCATTAGGAAAAAGAATATGGAAAATATTCCCACTGCGGTAGGTAATTATTTTTCCATCACCTTGGTGTACCTGGGAAGAAGAGACAAGGAAAGCAGGCAGGTGACAGCTGTCCTTCAGAGAGAGGTGGGGTCACTAGCAGGCTCAGCTTTTGCATCTTCTTGCTCTGAGCACTCATCTTCTATCTTGCTTGGAAAGGTGGCTTAGCCATCAAGAGCACTGGCTGCTCTTGCAGAGGGACCAGGTTCGAATGAAAACACACAAGGTGTTCACAACTAATTGTAGCTCTGGTTCCAGGGGATCCAACAGCCCCTTTTAACCCCCACAGGCACCAAACGTGTACCTGGCATACATACATGCAAGCAACATGTGTGAAATGAAGGTGAGGGTTAGGTCTCTCAAACCTTTGAGGAACCTCCTGAGTGTTTGGTGATCACACCATCTCTGGCACGCATCTCCCCAGTGCCCTTTCACGGTTCCTTGTAAGTGGGTAGGGACCTATCTACTCATTCCGTACTCCATTAGGCCTTCATTTTTATTTGACTGATTGCATCCCCAGGAATGCTCTGTTTCGGGTGAGGCCATCCTCTGGCACTGGAGGTCACGGCATTAGCATGTCCTTTTAAGGGAACATAGCTCAACCCGTAACATTGGTAAATTTTAGTTTTTAAAACCTTGCTCTTGAATTAGTTTTAGTAAATTATATTTTTCTAGGAAATTATCATTTTATGTAAAACTTTGCATTTATTGCCATACAAAGCTTGCTTGCTAAAAAAAAAAATCTCAACTTCCTCTGTCCTTATGTCTTCATTCTTTTTATACTTAAAAACATTTTTTTCCCTTGGATCAATCTTGCCAGAAAGCCTGCTTGCTTTACTAGGTTTGTTTTTCTCCACACCAGTTTATTTTTTATTTATTCTAGTTCTTTGTTTATGCCTTGTAAGTTTCTTTCTTATATCTGAATGCGATTTGGATTTTTACCCTTCTTCTTCATGATCCTCCCCACTTCTTCCTGAATTTTCTGAGCAGTTAAAATAATGAGGTCCAGATATTGTTTGGACCTGTTTCCCAGGAGTGAAACTATCTCATTTTTATCTTTATTTCATCTTAATATTTTCAAGGACCAATATGATTTCTTCTTTGACGTTGAAGTTATGTAAGTGTGCTTACATTTGGCAATGAATATGGCGTATCTGGTGAAACCGATGTTACTAATTAAAATACATTGGAGTACCTAGTTTATATGATGTTTGCTGAAGTTTGTTTAGTGGGCTATTGTGTGCCATGGGTCACTGCAGATATCCCATGGGTGTTTGGAAAGGCTATGTGAGTTGATTAAGCTAATTGGAGAATGTTTATTGAAGTGAGGCCCGGCGTGGGGGAGTGAAGGAGCCAAAATCTGGTGGGACTTCTAACCTTACCATGGTCTATGTAAGCTGAAGAGCCCTCTCCCCTGTTTACAGAAGTTGGGTTGGGTTGTCTGCATGTCCCTTCTGTGCGGAGGACCAGGAGTTGGAGGTTGTGGGCATGTATGGAGGTTGGAAGATACACCATGGTGGACAGTGCTGCCTTCCCACTTCCTCCCACTTCACCAAAAACAAAGCCATTAGGATCATGTGAACATCGCTAGTTGATTTTACTCTGAGTGCAAACTCATGGCATTCCATTCTGGATACCCAGCTGGAGTCTCCTGCCCAGTTCTCTTGCAGCTAAGTAGGGTTTATGTAACTCACATAAGTTACAACTCGTCCTCCTCGATGGAATTTAAATGTGGCTTCTAGCTTTGGGAATTCTGTCAAGGCAAGTAGTCACCAGAACTCTGGTATGATAAAGACTGCTGATAGAAGGGCCAAGATCTCTGAGACCCACCTCCTCAGAAAAAACACCCAAAGAGCTTCAAAATGGAATGGATGTAACATGAGCAAGAAACGTATGTCTGTTTGTTAAGCAGCTTGCTTGCAGTGTTGAATGAGTCCTGACTTCAGTGCCTCAGTAACCTGGAGAGAGTGGCTCTATGCGACCAGCAGCTACTATGGTTCAGATCTTACTCTAAAGCTTGCACACTGAAGCTGGGCTGTGGTGGTGCATGTCTTTAATCCCAGCACTCGGGAGGCAGGGGCAGGCAGATATCTATGAGTTTGAGGCCAGCCTGGTCTACAAGAGCTAGTTCCAGGACAGGATCCAAAGCTACAGAGAAGAAACCCTGTCTCGAAAAAAAAACAAAAACAAAACAAAAACAAAGAAAAGAAAGAAGGAAAGAAAGACCCCAAAAGAAAAGAAAAGAAAAAAAAAGAATAGAAAAGAAAGAAGCTTGTGCATTGAAGGTGTGGTCCCCAGCAGATGGTACTACTGGGAGGTGGTGTGGACTTCGCTGGAAGAAGCAGTTCTGGGACTCATGACCTTGGAGGTCAAATTGAGACCCTGGCCCTTTCCTTGACTTTTAGCTTCCTGCACACAGGCACTAGAAGCTTTCTCAGCCTACGCCTTCCCCTGTGGCATTACATCTCACCACAGGCCTGAAGGCACAGAGCCGAGCCACTGGGGACGGAGCTTGACAACTCATGTTTCTATTTTTTTAATCTATTTTCTTTTCCTCCTTCTTTCTCTCTTTTCCTCCTTTCTTCCTCCATCTCTTCCTTCCTTCTTTCCTTCCTTCCTTCCTTTTACCTCTCCCTCCCTCTTTTCTTCCTTTCTTTCTTTCTGTCAGGTCTTGATATATAACCCAGACTGACTTCTAACTCATGATCCTCCTGCCTCAGCCTTCTAGCTCCATTCTATGCATGTACTACACTTGATGTATCTGTTCCCTGCATAACTGATTTTTAAAGTATTGATTCTAATTTATCACCGAGAAACTGCCTATTATATTACATAGTTTATTATTAAAGGTTATTTCCTTACAATCTCATTGTCTTATAGGGAGAAGACGCTCAACAGCCTACACGGGCAGCTGGGTCTTGACATATTGAGAGCTGTTTTTTTGTTCTTGTTTGTGTACACTTTAGATATTGGCCCTGACAGCTCTCTGATGATGCACGTGCCTCACCAGACCTGGGAACAAAACAAAAAAACCTGTTCACAGTGAACACACCTATTCGTCGCCATGCTTACCTTCATCTTTGCCTGTATCCATTCTGCGTCTAGCTTTAACGTCTTCTTGATAGTAGAAACACTCCTTCTGACTTCTTCTGCCTCTGGCTTCTGGGGCTGTTGCAGAGCTGATACGAGGTACGTGATGGTAGTGGTGCTCTCCTCGTCCATCTTCTGATCTCCTGTTCAGAGAGGGCATGACTGGGGCTTACGGTCGGGTGACGGCATCAGGCACGGTGTTAGTGGGGGACGAGGAACCGAGCTATGAACCAGCTATCAAGGTGCTGCGGGCAGAGGTGGAGCAGCCAGCACGGCCTTGAGGCTGCAGGGGTGAAGCTGTGTGCTTGCTATACAACAGTGGGTGCTGCACTTCTCATGGCTGCTGGATAAATACATGGGCTGCCTCGAGGGTTCACTTTACCAAAAGAAGGAAATGTACTTTGAACATGTTATTTTGATGTGAATGTCTGTTAACGTGTTGTTTAAGATATAGGAGGAAGCTCTTCTTTTGCAGTCTGATGACTGGGACTCTGTGATTATCTTCACTTCAATTGCATCTAGTTTTAAATTATTTATTCATTTACTGAAATAGGAGCTCATGCAGCTCAGACTGGCATTGACCTCCTGATCCCCCCCCCCCCACCTCTGGAGGGCTAGAATTACAGATACAAGCTTCATTTAGTTCCCAGTTTGTGCAGTGCTAAGGTTTGAACCCAGGACCTACTTACTACACGTAAGCCCCAGTGACACATGAAAACCAAGAGTTTTGCATTTTGATGGTTTATAATTTAAGTTGTAAAGCTGTATCATATTCTCATGTGCCGCCTCCTTCCTATTTTTGTTTTTGTTCTTATTCTTCTCCTTCCTTCTCCTTTTTGTTTTGTTTTTGAGACAGGGTTTCTCCATGTGGCACTGGCTGGCCTGGAACTCACTCTACAGACAACACTGGCCTCGAACTCAGAGATCCACCCGCCCCTGCCTCCTGAGTGCTGGGATTAAAGGTGTGCACCACCACCACCTGGCTACCGCCTGACTTTTCATTGGAATGGATCGTTCTATGCAAAATAAAAACCCAAAGACCCTTGTTCTGAAATGACTAAGAATTTCAAGACAATGCCAGCAGGGCTTTATAACAAGCACACAGCTCTTCTTGAAGTGGCTCCCTGTGTGATGGTGTGTTAACTCAACCTTAGCTTGGAAATTAGAGCATTCAGAAACGTGGGGTAATGTATCAGTAAGACGGGACAATAGGGCAGGCAGAGGAAGCAAGTGGACAGCATCTCCAAGGTGCCTGGAGGTTTCCTTGTGACTGGCTAGATCAGGACCATGAAGGGGAAGCCACTCTCCCATTAAAACCATTGCTTCTCTGTGTAGGCTGCTCAGACATTTTAGGCTTCAGGTGTCCAGAGCAGCAGGGTGTAGGCACAATGGTGGCACATTACGGTGAGTCCAACCTCATTGTTTTCTTTTCAGATTAGGAGTTGTGCTGGTTGGTTCTAACTGTCAACTCGACACAACCCAGGACTACACAGGAAAGAGAGTTTTAATTAGGAATTATCTAGATCAGGTTGGCCTGTGGCAGGTCTGTGGGTCAGTCCTGGTTGTGGGAAATGTCTTAATTGTTAATTGATCTAGGCAGAAACAAGCCATTAGGGGTGGCATCATTCCCGGTGGGGGGGGGGGCGTGGCGTGGCAGTCCTGAATAGTCTTACAGTGGAGAGACCTAGCAGAGGGCAAGCAAGTATGATGGGGAAGCTCAGCCAATCACATTTGGCTAGGGTGTGGCTGCCTGGGGCAAAGGAAGAAGGAAGAAGCACCTGGGGATTAAGTGCCCTACACTGCTTCCCCCCCCCCCCCCCAAGCAGGGTTTCTCCGTAGCTTTTGGTTCCTGTCCTGGAACTAGCTCTTGTAGACCAGGCTGGCCTCGAACTCACAGAGATCCGCCTGCCTCTGCCTCCCGAGTGCTGGGATTAAAGGCGTGCGCCACCACCGCCCGGCTCCGACGCTTGTTTTGTCTTTTTCTCCACTGCGCGTGATTCTCGCTGGACCCTGGTCATGTGAGTTTCCCTTTATCCCAATTATTAAAAATTATATTCCTTGTTTTTGAGCTGGTCTGGTTAATTCTGACTACCGGTTAACCACGCCCCTTCACAAGTAAGCAAACAAAGACCAAACATGGGTGGAGGCCGGTAGAACGGTGCTTACCTTCACTGTTGTTTATAATCCACATAATTGATTCTCTGTGTTTTTCAAAATTTTTCTTCAGCCTGAAAGGAATGGAAACAATCTTCAAAAGTCAAGTTTGATCCGTGTTGGCGTATCACAGAACACGGTGCTTCGGGCCTAGAGGCTGTGGAGTCTTACATCAGGGAACGCTAGACGGAGGCCTGGGCTGTCTGATTCCCTTCTGGTCAGTGATCTCAAATATTAAGGGATGTCCAGCTGGAATCTACTCAGTTCTTTCCCCATGGCTTGAGACTTCAATTGATCTTTCAAAAATGAATCCCGTGGGGTACATGTTGGGGCCAGAGGCAGGCATAGAGGTTCGGATGCCAGGGTAGCTATGAGTTAAGTTCCTGCAGCCTGCTTTCCTTTGGCTTACATCTGGACATGGCTTGGATAAACAGCCCGTCCACAAACTGACCAGAGCCATTCAAAAGCCCTTGAAACACAAAAAACCACATACAACCATTCAGGTGGCTAGATCCAACCAAATAGAAATGACACCCACATCCATCCAAACAGACTGCAGAACAGTCCTGGTAGGACGATTTCAGTGTGTGACTTATCTTTAAAGACAGACCAGGCACCACCTTCCACATCGATCAAGGCCTTTTACCTGTGCTCGTGTCAACGTACAAATCAAAGACACTGCTTGCCTTTGTTTCTATTTTGTGCCCCTCATCCTTATGATTTCCTTCCTTGTGAACTTTGAGTCTGGCAACCAGATCTTGTGCGCGTCTGACTCCTGGGTGTTACCCATGTCCTTGTGCCTGGCTTGGGCTTGCTTCCTGACTCTGGCCTCCAGCCTGACCCTAGTTCAGGTCTCTTCCCCCTGTTTGCCACATCTGGTTTCCTGGAACCCACTGACCAGCTACCCTCATCAGTTACTTACAAGAGTCCCAGCTTCTTCCTGTTTTCACCCTCCAGCAGTTTGCTCAGGGGCACATCCTCGTCCTCCAGTTCCAGCTCGTGCTGAGACGCCAGCTCCCTGAGGATCTCTCTGAACACAGACTGATAGGTGCTGGGAAGAGACTACAAAAGGATCACCAGATGACGTAGCCCGGACGTGGAGATTGATGCTTTGTCAGCTAATAATTTTCCTGACTCTTGCGCCAGGTGACATTTTAATACATTGCTAAGAAATACCAATTGTGTGTGTAAGGTTGCCGAAGGGCTAGGAGGCTTCTCTTAAAGAAATCGTCCAGGGCCAGGATGGTGGCCACCCAAGCCTGACAGCCCTAGTCTGATTCTTGAAACCCATGTTAAGAACCAGATGTAGTGGCCTGCATCTGTAATCCCAGCATTCCTATGGTAAGAGAGTAAAATTACTCAGAAGCTTGGGATAACTATCATATAGTTTGCAGAATGATAGCAGAAAAAGCAAGACAAACTCTTTCAATAAGAGAAAGGCAAGAACCAACTCCTAAGACTTGTCCTCCAACCTCTACACACATGTTGTGGTACACATACACACACACACACACACACACACACACACACACACACACAATCACTACATCAAAATTCAAAAGGATAAAGAAATCTCCCACTACTATTAGACCCTCTTCCTGTCCGCCACCCAACCCCTGAAGAAGCGTGTTTAGTATCTGCATGCTAAGAAATCTTTTGGGAACACAGAATCATGGTTTGACTGTGGAGATGGTTATGGATCCACTTCCATGTTTGAAGCATGCAGCAGGCTTTCTGCATCCTACACGTGACCGAGCTCCCAGGGATGGCTGATTTACTCAAGGCCAAGGCTTTGCAACACCCAGTGTATGGCGTAGTGTGACATTCGAAGGGGCTTCCATTGTGGTCTTACTCTGTGTGTGTTCATAGAAGGGACCGTTCTGTCCCAGGGCTGTGCCGCTGACTGTGGCTGACCCACAGATGACTCCTCACAATGTTTCTTTCTCACACTGTTTTGGTAGGGATGAAGGTGGACTTTTTGGAGAGCAGGTAGGGACTGGGCATACCTGTGCCCAGAGCATCTCCAAGCCGAGGTTGTTATGGACGTTATTGGTCAATGTGTGATAATAGAGTGTGTACTGCTAATGTGCTAGCCTCCTACAGTGAGTGACTAACCTGATATAACTTTTCAAAGTTACATCCAATGTGGGGCCGTTACAAGAATACGGTTTGTGGTCCATGGTATTTCTAGGTTAGGGAGATGGTTTAGGACTGGCTTGCCTGGTCCACATCTCTGAATCCCTTTTCTTCACAGCCCACACCATTGCTTCAGAGAAGGTTGAGGTTAAGGCTCTTGATACTGGCATCCCTGTCTCCATGTTCCTGGTGACAGCCCTTCCTTAGGGATGGGATGACTGTTTGCCTTGCCGGTGATCTCTCAGCACACTTTATGTCCCAAGTTCTATTTACTAAGTGTCCACTGTCATCTCCCAGGTACTGGACCCAAGCGAATGGGCTCACTCATGGGTCTTGTCTTATCTAGGCTGTGCTACTCCACTCTGGCGTGTGATATCACATGGGTGAAGCTATTTATTCTCTCTGTGATGGTAAGTTTGTTTGGCACCCCAGAGGTGAGGTCTCCTATGCCCATAGACCCTCTTAGGTAAATCTCTGGTTGTTAGAATTTAAAAAAAAAAAAAAGCTTGCCCAGGAAAACTTGTAGGGACATGCACGTATCTTAGAAGTAAAAAAAAAAAAAAAACAAAAAACAAGCAATAGTAACTAGAAATGACAAGTGGATTGAGGACTTGGGATACCAGTAGGAGGACTCAAGCTCACTCTGTCTAATCCCCTCAAAAGCTTCCTTCTCCTAGACTGGCTAAACTTGCCCGTACATGCTTTCTACCGAGTTCTTGGAGAAGTCCTATTTTGCCAGGTTATATTGTTGGGAGCCACACTTTGGAAGTTGAATGCATGCAGAAAGGTCCACATGTTAAGGCTGTATGCTCCATGGTGATCATGGGACCTTTAAGATATGAGACTTAGTGAGAGGTCCTTAGACAGCTGGAGGCATACCTCCTAAAGGGGCTGCATGACCTTTGTCTTCCGCTGTGCCTTGCTTCTGGCTCAGGATATGGCAGAGGCCTGATGTTCTTGGATGTGAGCCTCTAGAACAGTGAGCCAAACTAAACCTTACTTTTTGAGTAGCCCATGGCAGGTGTTTTTTCACAGTGCTATAGAGCTGCCGAAGACCACACCTGTCAGGAGGTCTGGGGTCTGTGCCCTGGTCCTGCCTCTGAGTCACAGGCATTCAGTGATTCCACACCAAACTCTCCAACCAAGAGCTTTCTCCTTGGCTTTAGCTGGACTTTCTCTGGATGTCCTACAGGTGCTTAGCACTCACTGTGGGTCAAGTGGAAGTGTTCTCTTTAACCTGCAAGCTTGCTTTTCTCCTCTTTACTGTCCCAGTCTACTGAGTATTGCTGCATCCTCTGTCATGTTCCTAAGCAACCAGACATCATTACTATTCATCTAGACTAATTGTGAAGTTGCTTTTCTCCCTGTGCTCAGGTTCTCCATTGCAATTCACCATTGGTGTGGGACAATGGTCTGTATTCTGTCAATTATATTTTAAATAAATGCTGATTGGCCAGTAGCCAGGCAGGAAGTATAGGCGGAACAACCAGACAGAAAGTAGAGGTGGGCCAAGGAGAACAGGAGAATTCTGGGAAGAAGGAAGTCCTAGTGTGCAGTGACCCAGTCACAGAAGAAGCAAAATGTGACTGCCTCGCTGAATAAGGTACCGAGCCATGCGGTTAACATAAACAAGAATAATGGGCTTAACGACTACGGGAACAGGAAGGACAGAAAACTCAGTCAACACGCCATCTACAAACTGCAAGAGTGACTTTAAAAATGCAAAATTGACTCTCAATATTTCAGAGCATTCTGGCTGGATCTCCTAATATATATATATATATGTGTGTGTGTGTGTGTGTGTGTGTGTGTGTATGTAACAATGTATAATATATATTCAAATACATCTCAGTTATACTTTTTAAAAGATTCCTTATAAAAGTAGGAAATACCCAAATGATTTATGAAATACTTTTTGAGCATGAAAAGACCTTTTAATAAGTATAGCTAGTAGTCATAAGAGAAAATATTGATCAATGAGACTATATAAAAATGAAAAATGACCATTTTATGGGGAATACCATAAAGAATTTGAAATACAAAGACTGAAAAAAACCTTTACAACACAGATGTCAGAAAAGCACTAGGTTCTTCGATGCATTAAAAAGTTCCTACAGGGCTGGAGGGACGACTCAGTGATTAAGAGCACTGGCTAGGTCCAGAGAACCTAGGTTTGGTTCCCAGCACTCACATGGTGGCTCACAACCATCTGTAACTCCAGTCCCAGTGGATCTCACTCAGTCTGGCCTCTGTAAGCATCAGGCATGCAGACATACATGCAGACAAAACACCCATACACTTGAAATAAATTGAAGAAGTTCCTATAAACCTGGAAGGAAGAGATGCAATCAGCAGACTGGAAGGACAGCCGAGAGACACCGGCCAGGTGCGCAGAAGGGACACACGAGGCCCATGAGTGGGAAAAGCCCCCATCATCATGCAATCTAAGTGCAAAGAGAAACACGTCACCATTTTCACTCCACCAGATGGGTCCTGGAGATGACCCTCGTGGAGGGCTCTCACATCTCTTGGGAAAAGCAAAGCGGCACAAATGATTTGGATGGAAACTTGCCAGTTTTGTTTGTGTTGTTTTGGTCACAGGGCTTTATAGTGTAGTCCAGACTGATCCAAACTCATTACCTTACTTCGGTCTCCTCAGTGCTGGGGTTGCAAGTGTGGGCTATCACACACAACTGTATATATATATATATATATACACATTGTATATGTCATTATATAGTGTATATGTCTCTATATATGTATGTATATATAGTGTATATGTCATTATATATGGTGTATATGTCTATATATGTCTATATATGTATGTATATATAGTGTATATGCCAGAAAGTACCCAATGATTGATGGGGATGGGGTACCAGTTAATAAAGGTTGAAGATATGTGAAGATGGGAGGCAGCAGTGCATGCCTTTAATCCCAGCACTAAGACAGAGACAGGCAAATCTCTGTGAATTCGAGCCCAGCCTGGTCTACAAAGCAAGTTCCAGGACAGTCAGTGCTACACAGAGAAACCCTGTTTTGAAAAATAAAAAAAAAAAGGTAATGAAATACAGATTTCCAAGATATATTATCAAGGGAAAAGTGAGAAACAGAATGTAATTCTGGTCTCATAGTGGCTAGTCATGCTACTGTAATAAAGTATACTTCATATGGATTAAAATTTCCAGACATGCCCATAGAGTACACTATATAATAGCTATTTCTGGGAGGGAAGGAAGAGAGTTGAAAAAATTATTTCACAGCCTTTTTTGCCATTTCAATATTTAAAAATCATGTGCACAAAAATCCCATATTCAAAAATCTAGACTGAATCAGACTACCTAAGGCAATAAACAAGTCAGTCTGGCTGTGTTTCATGTCCTCGGTGGCAAAGCTCAGAGATGGCGAGGTGCTTGTGATGGGAGCTCCCCACTTGTCCCAAGAAATGCTCTGGAAGGCAGCAAAGTGTGGCCTGCTCTGCCTGAGCACATGACAACTGTGTCTCCTCCCAGGGAGGGCACTGTTGAGCTTTTCCTACTTACATCAAAGTTTTCCGCGTCTTGCTTGTCGAAAGGCCCATTGATTATAGCATCCCAAAAGGACCCTTGAGGGAAGGTCTCCGAGGCTTTCAGTTTGGGAAGAAATGTCGAAAGGAAGCAATTTTGGAGGGAAAACCAAACCAGAGAGAAAAGAGGGAGATAAAAAAAGAGGGAAAAGAAATAGATTTATTATCTCACCCTCGTTTGAATAAAAGAACCACAAGCATCACCAAGGATGCAAATTCATTGAATTACATAAGATACATTGCACCATGGGGGTCATAATAAAATAGGCATGGAATGAGTAATTTCATTGGCTGACTTAAGGGAGCTGCTGTGGTCCTGGTGTCTGGTAAATGTCTGATGTAGTGATGTTTGAACAACATAGATGGAGAGCAGGCAAAGGGCTAGGGGCTGGGTGGTACTATCCACCTCCTTCCGCTCAGCGGCTGCCCAGTCGTGAGACTGAAGAGGCATGTATATACATATTGAAAATCTGCAACAGCACTTGGTACCTGGTGTGGAGCACGAGAAACGTGACCGGGGAGCCAGCAGAAGAGATGGAGGGCAGGGGCTATCTGCAGAGGTCCTTGTGGTTTCTCAAGAAAGACTTAGTCTGAATGGTTTTACCACAGACGTTCCAAGAACGGTATCTATCTCCCACTGGTTCTCTCAGATTTGCTGTTTCTAGACTTGCCTATGGCTCACCGTTGCTAATCAAGACAGAAGAAGGTTCCCCCATCCAAAAAGCTGGAAAGCATCTACCAGAAATAGTGCACACTTCTGCATTTCAGGATCAACCCTAGCCTGGAGGTTTAGGAGATGGAGAAGGGTTTCAAGCCTTCAAGGTGATGGGGGCGCAAATTGAACTGTGAAACTGACATTCATAACTCTGGTCTCTTTCTCCCCTACTCCTGGGAAGGTATGGCTCCCAAGGCGTGGCATGGAGGAAGAGTCTCTAGATGGATAACCAGGTCTCCAGGGAAGTGACAGTGGCGTGTCGCCTGTTTCAGGATGATACAGGTCCTTTAAGCTGGGACATCCAGAGAGCCCAGGGAACACACTAGGAAGGCACAAGGGCCGGCTTAGTTCGTTTAATTCTGTCCCCTTGTTATGCCTTTATAGGGTCTAGAGCAAGGGTATCCCTTGCGGTCCCCACCTGTTAATTTTGGATTCAGAAGAAAATGTTCCTACTCTTTCAAACTCCTGACAGGGTGACTGACTAGGTTCCTTATGTCTGCAGACCTCAATGCATACCTGTGGTTTGATCCAGACAAACCTGTGGTGGCTGAGAATTCATTCACAGGCAGACATTTCCCGCATCACTCCTACAGGGGCATACACGCCATCCCCATTGGGGTACTAAAAACATGGCATGTTCCTACAGTAGTTTTGAAAAGCCACTTAGGAACACCCAACAAGAACCCATCAGGGTTCAAACCAGCATTCAGGAGTCCCTTGTGCAAACATCAGAGAGGGAAAGTGAGTGAGTGGACACAGTAGGAGCCCAAGAGACCACAAGGCAGGCGGCTAGGGTAAGACGCTCTGTGCTGTGATGCCACTGACTCCTGTGGCCACGGAGATGGCCTCTGAGCCTGGCCGGGGCCGACAGCTCAGCAAAACCTCATCACCAGTGACTGCTTGTTTTAACAGGCTTTATGGATGGTCCAGAGCTAACTGAAGGAGAAGTGAGTGTTTATTGCAAGGAGGAGGTGAGCTTGGCATCCCTGAATACTAAGCAGTGGTGCTCAGCGGGGCTGGGTCCACCCATGTGTCGCGTGTCGGGGGAGCACCGTCAGCAGCAGTGGCGGGGCTGCGGCTTGACTGAGCAACAGAATCTCTGTTTCTAGTTAATGGTTCCTTTGGGGGTTTCCTGTGGCCTCTGCTTCCATTCTAAGGAGATCATTATCTGTCCCGTGGAGGGCGAGGAGAGGGGTGTACCAGGCCAGGAGCAAGAGGTGGACCTGTGTCAGAAGACTTTGTCACTTGCAATGACACTCACATCCTGGCCTTTCACCTGTACCATGAGGTCAGGGAAGGCTGGTCTTTAGGGTGGCTCGGAGGCCAGGACTGACATAGCCCAAACGCGCGACAACACACAGTTCCTGATAGCATGTTTTTCCTCTCCTCTGATTAAGAACGAACTTTGATTCCTCCTTGTTTTGGGGCATCTCTGTTAAGGCTCTTCTTGGTAGAACTGCACCCTTGAATGTGTGATAAGTGGTTGAGCATCTATATTTCCCACACGGAATAGAATCAATAATTCCCATATTCCAATGACAGAAACCTCTGCTTGGCCAAAGTTTACTCACTTCCTGAACCATCTCCTTGGCCCATCCGCTGACTTCCTTCAGAAACCTAGTTGTAGCAAGTGCCCAGCTGAGTCTGTTTGGCGGGAGCTCCACACCCTGAGACCTGAGCATCTCAGTCCTGGACCTGATTTTTCACGGGTCCAGAAAAATCTACAAAGCCAGGTATTTCATCACCGTGGCTTGCTTTCCATGAGAACCCCCCTTCCCCGGATGCCTCCTTCACAGTTTCCATCCACTCACCTCTGCCTGCTTCCGGGATGTGAATCTCGCTCAAGTCTGTTTTCAATTGAACCCCATCTCTCTCTCCTATCACAAAACCCCATTGCCAAGGCCCTTGCTGCACCCCTGAGTCTTAATGCACTGGTCCCCACTGAGGCCCGTCTGGTGTGTCACTGAAGGTTTTGTTTGACAGCGGATGAAGGGAGGAAGGAGAAAATCAGCATCTAGTTCAGGGCCAGCTCTGAGCACTGGACAGCCCTGCCCCAGGGACTAATGAACACCCAGAGGAAACATAGATCTGTTTTCACCCCTCCACTCTTCTTGATGGCTTAGGTAGGTGAGGCAAGGGCTAGGCTGGATGGGCCACTGTGACACAGACCTACAAGCTGTCTGAAAGTCTGGCCACCCAGACTGTGATCCGCAGGCCATCAGAAGACGCAGAGAGCTCGTTAGAAAGCCAGCCTTCCCAGACCTAGCCATTGGGAATCTGTATTCAAACCGGACTCTCACTACTAGGGAAGAACTCTCCCGCGGAAGTCGATTTCCAACATAACTGTGTCTCACATTAACATTTGAACAGATTCCTCTGAAACAGCTGTGGCTGGGGACTAAGATGGAGAGGGGTACCTTCCACAGGTTAAATCTGGAGTTGCAGAGAGGCGGGTGGGGTGCATCATGGAGAGTTTGAACGAGTTTGTTGAACAAGCTACCAGGTGTGGGTGTTGACTAGGACACGAGTATATATTTATGATCAGACGGCCTCAACCCTTTCCCTTCAGTTTTGTCTCTAAACTGTCTTCCGGTGGGACTGGCTCTGGGTCACTGTTCAGGCTAAGTGACAAAGGGAGGCTGTGCAGGTCGGGATTTTCTCCTGTCTTTGTCTCTCACGGGAGTCCCTTTAACCCTCGTTAATAAACCCTGACAGCAGCAAAGGACTCCATATGTAGGTGTGCCGGGCCTTTCCTCCACCAAGGTGGCACTGGGTCAGTCTACGATGGGACGCAGCACATCTCAGAAAAGCTGCTTCCGTGACCTCAGGGACACAGCCTCAGCCTGGGCCCACTTTAAATGTGGGGGCTCCTCCCTGTACCAAGGCTTCTGGACACGGAGACAGACTTCTAGCCTTTTCCCACATGGTCACTCTGCCTTCCTCTGCAGATTCTTAGTTTCTGTTTACTTCTCCTTCTTCAGGAGGTTTGGGGCTTGAGTGCCAGCATGTCCCCAGATTCCCCTCCAGGACTTGACATAAGCTTCATTAGCAAGGGAACAATCACCGGGGCCACTGACCCAGCCCACAGTACTCTGCAGGAATCCCTAAATGATATGTTAAGTTGGACTCATACTATAATCTTCCTCTGTCTTACCGGCTTCAAATGTCGAAAAGAATAGAATAGGAGAAATTATTACTGCCATGTGTGGACCTTTTAATCCCCGAGGGAATCGATTTTAGAATCACCTCTTAAGCTGGGGGGGGGGGTAAGAGGAGGAGTGAGATCGCACATGCAGAGGGAAGCTCAGCCCACAGCAGTCTGGGGCCTGTAGTGGACGCTCAGTAAGCCTTGGCCCCTTCCCCTTGTCCCTAGTTTTTTTTTTTTTCTCATTAGAATTTGGAGAGGGTTTTATCCATTTCAATGTCCTGCTTTGCCATTGGATGAGCTCTGTGTGATGACCATTGTCTTCCCACCTGCCTCTAATCATAGGTACTGTTTCCTCTCCTTTCAAAACATCCATGCCCCTGCCTCGGATTCAGTGTCTTTCTTTAGTGCTGTGTTCCAGGGATGACGCCTTGGCCCGGGACCTTAAGTAAGGACTCCTGAAGGAGGAAGTGCTCTCCTCCGCAGGGGTCAGGCTACTTTTGCACTTCTTACCTTCTTGCAGCTGGTAACTTCTACAGTCACTTAGAACACCCAATCATTACCTTCCAAATCAGATTTCTTATGTGTTAGCTCGAAGGAGGAGTCTTGATCTAGTATGGTTGTTGATCTTAAAGGCGTTCCTGTGAAAAGGTGAAAGAGAGTGGTCATTCTGGTTTCAGGCTTGGTCGTCACAATGGGTCCATGTTGTACACACGGAGTCTGTACATTGGGGTTCTTGGCACCCAAGGGCTGATTGAGGGAGGGGAAGGGTGGAGGCTGCAGGGCATAGCTGCTTGACTTCTTTGGTGACTTACTTTAAGACTGCAGTAAATCGGTGGGCTCCCCTGGCCATCCCTATCATCACCACAGGGCTAGCACGGCTGGAGGCTGCGGAGGCCTCCGAGGTCTAAATCCTATTGTGGGAATCAGAGAGCCAGGCGGCTCCCAGGCTGTGGGGATGCACAGCGAGGCATTCTTGTCACCACAGCAAGGGGACCTCTGTGCTTTTCTCATGCTAAGAGCTGCACAGGAGAAACCTACTGGGAAAGAGCCACAGCCAGCACAGACCTGCTGAGCTTGCACTGCCTCTACTGTGTTCTCCATAGACCTTAAACACACCACGTCACTCCCATTTCCGCTCCCTTGGGGTTTTGTGCTATTATCTCTTCTTCCTATTCCTAAATAGGTGTGCACCCAAGTACACACACACACACACACACACACACACACACACACACACTGTCTCTCTCTTAAATATACAGCACACACACTCTTACACACACACATACGCTCCTTACCCACGCATGCACACCTAGCACACACTGTCTCTCTCTCACACACACACACACATTCTTATATACACACATTCCCTCTTACCCACATGCACACATAACACACACTCAGTCTCTCTTTCTCACACACGAACACTCACACATACACACACACTCCATCTTACCCACACATATGCACATGACACACACAATCTCTCTTACACACACTTTCTTTCTTACATACATGACACACACACGCACACACACACACTGTCTCTCTCTTAAATATATAGCACACACACTCTTACATACACACATATGCTCCTTACCCACATGCACACCTAGCACACACTGTCTCTCTCTCTCGCACACACATTCTTATACACACACACACTCCCTCTTACCCACATGCACACATAACACACACTCGGTCTCTCTTTCACACACACACACACACACACACACACACTCCATCTTACCCACACATATGCACATGACACACAATCTCTCTTACACACACTTTCTCTCTTACATACATGACACACACACGCACACACACACACACACTCCCTCTTATCCACACATGCACACATAGCACACACTCTGTCTCTCTTACACACACTCTTACACACACACTCTCTCTTATCCACATGTATGCACATAACACACACAATCTCTTACACACACTCTTACATACATAAAACACACACTCTTACACACATGTGCACATAACACACATGATTTCTCTTACACACATACACACACACACACACACTCTCACACACACTTTTTCTCTCTCACATGCACACTCACACCCTGCATTCCATTCTTGCAGCAGAAGAGGAACAGGCCCCTGAGGGAAAGAAAGCACTTTGCTGCACCATTCATGGGAGGGTTGGGTTTGCATCAGGCTCTCAGGGCTTAGATGGGAGACCCAGACATGCGCACTGCCAGCACCTACTAGTTTTTAGCATGAGCCCCAACACCCCATAAGCAAAAGTCACTTAAGCTCAGAAAGCACACCTGTCTTGGTTAGGGTTACTGTTGCTATGGTGAAATACCATGATCAAAAGCAACTTGGGGAGGAAAGGGTTTCTTTGGCTTACATAACTCGAGTCCATTAAGGGAAGCCATGACAGGAACTCAGACCTAGCAGGAACCTGGAGATAGGAGCTGATGCAGAGGCCAGGGAGGAGTGCCGCTAACTGGCTTGCTCCTCATGGTTTGCTCAGCCTGATTTCTTATATTCCCCCAAAGTGGACATGCTGTCCTAGACTGGGCCTCCAGTTACACTTGGTTATGGTAACTTTTCCTGTCCCATTTACTCACTGGGATATTATGAATGAGAGTCCTGACAGTACACAGCACCCTTCCACCCGTACCTCCCTAGCGTGTTGTTGGGGGATTTAACAGAGCAAGATTTGATATAAATTAACAGTGTGTGTTTTTCTGAACCCACTCCTGGCCTATGTTTCTGCCTGTCGAAATCTAGACTATGATTATATTATCAAATGTAGGTCACCTACAAATAGAAATATCCCTTCCACATTTGCAAAGACTGCCCTGCTAAGAGCCCCCTCGCTTTTCTGAGGGGGTCTGAGCTGCTCAACAGTTCTCTGGAGACTGCTCCGTTACTGTGTCATTGTCTCTCTTTAGCGCCCACCTCACACTGTTCTATCTTTGTCCCCAAACACGGAAAGACTTTGGGCGTTAAAGGCCTGGTGTGATTTGACTCTGCAGGATTGTTATACTTGCCAATGGCCATTTTGTCAAAAAATGACAACCAACATTAAATGATTGTCCCTGATATATACTGGTTTGTTGAGGTTATTTTACTCTCAATATCTGTCCTAAATTGGCCATGAGCTCGCATCCCAGAAAGATGGTTGAGCCATTCGTGTTCTCTCTATATTTACGGGCTATTTTGTTTAGATTGGAAGGTAACAGTGATCATTCTCTTCTGACTTTTTGAACAACTTTGGTTTCTGCTACTTCTTTTTCAGTTTGTTGTACTTTTTCTAATCTGAAGTTTATTTTCTTTCCCCGTGAAGTAAAAATGAAAGACTGGATGTAGAACTTGACTCTGCAATTCCCTCGCATAGAGGAGTGCAGCCAGGTCGGTTAGAACCTTCTTTGTGCTCTAGTTACATTAACAGAGCCCCTGGGCCTGGAGAGTGGTTCACAGCTCTTGCTACTCTTGCAGAGGACCTGGATTTGGTTTACAGCACCCATATCTGGTGGCTCACAACTGCCTGAAACTGTCGTTCTTCCGGGGGTTCAGTGCCCTCCTCTGACTTCTGTGGTCTGCTTCTGCCAGTTGCTATGTTTCTGCGTTAAGTGGAAGGTGTTTTCTTCCAAAAAAGTGGATCCTTATCTGCCCCTGTACTGTGGATCAACCTTCAGTAAAGTGTGCCATGACGTCAGGGGTCTTTCTCTCCTCACAGAGTGTCTTCCTGTGTGTCTCTCCTCCACTTTGCACTTCCCCACCGTCCTGGACCTGTGCTTCCGGTTCCTATGTGTCCTCACACCTCTGCCTTGGAGAAGCCATTGCTCTTTCACCAGCCTCTCTCTCTCTAGCATGGAGCCAGCCTGGGATGGCATCTCTGTGTCATTTGGGACATTAGTCCATGCGCAAACTCTGATAAAGCTGAGAATGGGAAGTAATTCAAAATCATTTCACAGGATGGTGTGGGAGGAGGCACAATGGGCTTGCCTCTGGAAGTTGCCTCCATGGCTTAGCCTGGTCACATGATTTTGTTTCCCTGCCCTAAGAGACTTCCCCTGGAGGGGGTAGCCTTCTTCAGCCAGCTTGGCCTTTTAGGGCATAAATGTGCTCCTGGTATTTGGCAGGGGCACCAAGCCCTGAGAGATGCTAAATCTCCCTACTGTGCCTTGTTCTTCTACTTGCTCCATCCGTTGATCCTATAATCATGGACCTGCTACGATTAGAGTCCTCCAGAAAGATTACAATCCACCAGCAGAAGGGGAAAGAAAACACCCCATGAATTTTCAGTGGTTGCTTGTCCTTCCTTGTGTTTCAGTCTCTGCTGCCAGGACTACTGTGAAAACAGAGAGGCTTCCTCTTCCTAAGGTTTGCTGGGATGAACAGACAAGAGACCAACTAACTAGAGCTGACGTCTGGTGCTTGGAGGCAACCACAGAGTTATCACTTCAGAAATGTCTAGACCCCTTTCCATGGTGGTGGGGCTGGGGTGGAGTGGAGAAGAACTGGAAATATAGACCGGTTTATAAGGGGTGGAGAAGAACTGGAAATATAGACCGGTTTATAAGGACAGTATGTGCTGTTTCAGGGTATCCCAGAGGCTTAGATAGACCTGGGACAATGTTCACTGGCTGTACATCACAGGTGATTCTGTTTGGAATGTTGAGCGAGACCGAAACGGAAGACAAGAGTGTGCCACAGAAGCCTGTTCCGTCCTGTCAACAGGTTGCAGTCCCTTTTCCTGTAGGGACTGAAAATGCAGAGGAAGCACGAGAGATAATTGCTTTCTTCTGCAGTGGGTGTGGACCTTTGCCAATCCTTGTTAACACTTAGGATCTTTCTATTTAAAACCGGGGCACCATATGTGAGTCCACAGTCCGAGGATGCGTTCATTACTCTCTTCCCAAGCAGCTGTAGAAAACTGGGTGTGCCCTTATCAGAGGCTGTGGAATGCTGATGCCATTAGTGTTTGACCCGTAGACATTTGCTAGGGAATGCCCGGCTCTTCATAAACGTTTGCTCAGCCTCTGATGGCTGTAAGGACTCCGCCTTGGGAAGAGGCATAGCTGCCAAAGATGCCCACACAGAGCAGAGGGGCATGATGCTTTCCTCCTAAATGTGGACGCAGGAGCGGTATCTGTTAAGCATGGATACTAAACCAATTGTGGGTGAAGGAGGCACAAAGGTCTTAGAGGGTCTTCCTGGTGTGTGTCCACATGGAAGGGTTGGATCTCGGGACTTTCCTTCCCACACGGTCTCTTTGTCCCCATCTCCCCCCACATTCTTTCAGGCTTAGTGTTGACACTGCTAGGCAGTTACTAAGTCCCTTTGGAGTCTCGTTTGTGCATGTTTAGATGAAAGCTCAGCATTCTCCCGCAGAGGTCACTAACTCTGCACAGTTCCAGTTTTCGGGGAGTCTGTGAGAATCCATGTGTGGACCAAATGAGTCCCTTAAGCCTGGGAAAACACGTCCAGTGTCCAGTGACTGGTGTGGGCCTGTCCTCTATGTCCCCGCCATTTCTGGAGTGGCTGCTGATTTTGTTTAGTCCCCTTTGAGCCACAGAATTTAGCAGATAGGGATTAGGCAGGGAGATGAGGTAACAGGGAAGCCAGTTTCTTGTTGTCTTGGTTACAGATGGGAAGGAACCCCGTGAGTCAGCCATGGGTCATTTACCACGGCTGGACTTTAGGATTAAAAATGGCAAGAGATGCTATTTAGCTTTTCACCCCTAGGACCCAGAAGGTAGGACCTTTGATCTCAACTGGGTAGAGAACTGAGACCATTGATGCCATCTCCCTGAAATCTCTTTTGTGTGTTTTATGATGGTTTGGTCTGCATTAGCGCTAGCCTCAACTGCGTTCCAAGACACAGTCTGAGGTGGCTTTCGTCCTGTTGACTAGTCTCCATATATTGTCTGGATGCAGTTTATTGCCTCAAAGAACCAGAGCACAACCTGTGAGGGGAACGCCTTTGTCCCTGAGGGAAATGCTGCCTGGGCGCTTACAGCAAAAGACAAGGGGCAGAGAGGAGGCAGGAGGCAATGCCTGTATCAGCTCTTTGCAGATACTTCCTAGGGGATCTGGGATGTGTAGTGGTGGGCGATAGGATTGCCAGGGGGGTTTCACTTTTTACACAAATATGTCTGGCTTGGCATCTTATCATGTAGAACTGTGTCATGTTATAAGGACAGAGGAGAGCACTCAAGCCTCAGTCACCCACACGCGCGTGCGCACGCATGCATGCACACACACGCACACATACGCGCCTGTGCACTTCAAAGCCATCCCTTCCATCTCAGGCCTTGGAATCTGGCCCTGGGGTCCTGGTAGGGTGTAGCCTCCCTTACCCATCTTGCTCTCGTAGTAGGGCCATTCCGTCTGACTGCTCTGGTCTCTTAGAGAGACACCAGCTCCCAAAAAACTGTAGTAAGAAGACGTGGTGAACTTCAGGTCATGGTCAGAGCCGGAAGGAGTGGCAGATAGGAGACTGCTTTCTTGAACGTTATGGGGAACTGGGCTCCTGTCAAAGGGGAGCAAAATGGTTACTTAATTTCCATTCAGAAGTCAGGTTAGGATCCCAGGTGTATAGCCCCATGGGGTTGGGAAGACAGTGGCTACTCTTCGTCTCCTATAGACTTCTCCAGTTTCCGGTGGCAGAGTATAGAAGATGAGGAGGTCCCGGCTTATGGATCACAGAGAATAGACCTGTGTGCCCTTCCATGTAGCCAGCTGCTGTTTCACTGAAACCTGAAAGGATCTATGGATGCCTTCACTGACAACAGAATATTCTAGAACATTCCCCATCAATCCTGGTTCTGAGCTCTGCCTATTGTCTTTAGAGTCTCCCCCTGCCTCACGGTTGCTTTAGGGGTGTGGAACCCACAGAAATACATGTCACAATGTGTCGAGAGACTAGGCTAGCCTGCCACGGTTTTCCAGGGGTTTAAAATCAAGCATGGAGGTGTGTCCCGTAGGTGCCTCACTACTGTCTGAAGTGCTGGAGAGGTAGATGGCCGGGTGTTGGAATGAGCTGTGGGCAATTCTAATGTGCTATGTCCTTTATCAGGAATATCTGGATTTTCCCTGGGTTCAGACTGAAGTTCAAAGGGAGTGCCCACACGGAAATTATTTAATATCACTGTCCTAGCTAGCCCAAAGAGACAGGTCCAATAAATATTGAGGTGGTGACTATGTCTGGTAAGAAATTGTAGGGTATTTCTCTGAGGGACTCAGTCCAAATGACATATAGACATCTAAGCACACCCCCTTCCCCCGCACAGGCATCTCTGGTTGTCAGAGTTCTCTGTAGGGCCCCAGGGAATTGAACATGTTCTCAATGGAATACGGATAAAGATGGGATGGGTCTGTGATCTTGGAATCTAGATGACCTGGGGTCATGACTCATGCTCTCGGCCTGTGAAGTGTCTTCCTAGTGGCCCACAAGGATCAGAATGAAGAAGACCCTTCATACTTGCCAAACTGGTCCTGTGTGTGAAGTACTTCACCTGGGCCAATGCTCCCAGGTGAAGACCCAACTGCCAGGAGACAAAACAGCTGCTCTGTAGTGCCTGGCTGGCTGGAGCTGTGAGACAGATTTGACAGGCAGTCCGTCTGTCCCCTTTGCAGCCAATCCTCAAAACAAATGAGGGAGAGGTGTCTTTGACAAGCCATGCCTTGTGGGTGTGTTTGTATATGGCCTGTGGTGTGTGTGTATGTGTGAGTGTGTGTGTGTGTATGTGTGTGTGTGTGTGTGTGTGTGTGTGCGTGCGTGGTGTCTTAGAAGACCCACCCTGCCTGGGCCCTAGAGGTGTGGAATATAGACCAGAGGAGTCAGTGCAGAACAGAACTGGGGGGCTGCCTTGTCAGAATCAGCCCGCTACTCTGAGCTATAACTTGTGGTAAATCAGGGATATCCCAACTTCTCACCACCCCCCAAAAGGGCTTGTGAGTTTTCATAATCTCATGTCCATTCAGCTCATCAGTGGAGAAGGGGACCACCCATTCCGGCCTCTGCAAGTACACTCATCGGGGGGATTATAGGATACACGACAAAAGACAAGGATAGCATGCTGGGACACTTGGGTAGAGCTGGGCACACAGGAGAACGTGCTTATTCCGCAGACGTTTCTGTTTTCATCATCTAGGGCGTGCCGGCCTCTGTCGCAGTGTTTCCGTCACTATTCAAGCAAGCCTTGGGAATATGCTCAAGCTGATTCTTCCTCTGTATAGCTCGCAACTTCTCCTTGGCCGTCTGCTCTTCTATCCAGGGACAGCATTGCCTATCAGCTCTTTGCTGACTGCCTCTAGTAACCACCTGTCCCTGATGTAGACTTTGATCCAAACTCAGAAGGCCCTGCCCTTTTATTGCTGGACATCCTGGGCATTCAGATGCTCGACCTTGGAACCCTCCCCTGTGAGCCCTGTGGTGACTTCCAGGAGCTCCTTACTCAATGTCCTTCCTCAGGGACCTGCTCCCTAAGGCCTTCTCCACTCCTCTCCATCTTTGAAAAGGTGTTTTTCACCTGGCTTATGCAAAAGATTATTACCTTGCTTTAAGACTGGCCTGGTCTGCTGCACCAACTGCCTTGAGTTCTATGGGGTGGGGGAAGAACAGAAAGGAATTATTGATCCTGACACAGCATTTTTTTCTTTACATTAAACATATCTTGTTAAATCTCTAACGGTGAGGACGAGAGGACTGGGTTACAGAAATGTTCTGCTTCTGTCTCATTCTCCCTCTTCATGATTCTCTTTAAAAATGAGGATGTTTAAACTGGAGAGAACTCAAGCAGACAAGGATCCAGATTTGCTCTGCTAATCTAAGGTACTCACAGTGCCCCTCTGCCACAGGATGAAGGGACGGCCCTGCAACGAAGGTGCCAGATGGAACAAGGGGTGAATATTTAAGATTAGGAAGATTTCTTTCTTTCTTTCTTTCTTTCTTTCTTTCTTTCTTTCTTTTTTTTTTTTGGATCCAGGATCTCTCTCTACATAGCCCTGGCTGTTCTGGAGCTCACTGTGTAGACCAGGCCCAAACTCACAGAGATCCACCCACACGCCTCTTCCTCCAGGATGCTGGGATTCAAGGAATGCATCAGAACTTTAACCATTGGGGTCACTTAATAGTCTGATTGTCTTTAACCATATGACACCAAGAGTTTCAAGTACAGTCATCATTAACTCAAGTGAAGAATTGCTAGAGCCCGGCATGGTGTCCCAGGGCATTGATGACAGTTACGAGCCCCTGAGGAGATGTCTCCCAAGTCCTTTGGCCCTGCCTCATGATCTCTTGTCTTTTGCTTTATCTATTTCACAAAGCAGGAAAATGTGGCCCTGGAAGATCTGTTACACATAAGTCAATGGCTAGGGAATAGCATATAATATGATTATGGCTACCTTTCACATTGTCTCAGAATACTGTGTGTCTGATGCATCCTGTAAGGGAGTCTACTGTTGTTGCTCAAGAGAAGAAACCAAGACAAGAGATTAGGGGACTTGTCCAAGTTCATGTAACTCGTAAGTGGGACAGGGCTGTCATCCAGGCCTAAGAAGTCAAGCCACTAAGAAAGAAAGACCTTCTTGATGGCAGTCAGCCACTCATAAACAAATGGCAGTAGTAATTCATCTTTACCACCTGATTCTGGGGCAGGAATTACTAGCTGATAATAGCTCTCGTTCCTGCTGAGCCTAGATAGGGCCCCTCAATCCCCTCAAAGTTAGTGACCCACCTCTGACTCCTAGTAACTGATCAGAATGAGCAATGGTAGTTCAGATGTTCTTTCTAAGGTTCTTTTTTTTTAATAAATACCAATTAATTTATTAAAAATAAGTATGTGTGTGTGCAAGTATGTATGTGTGTGTCTTTATAAAATAAATATCTGACTGGCTGATTCAATTGTCTGCTATGGGTCAGGATGGCATTCTTGTTCAATTCCGTGTCCCACAATAGTTATATCTTAAAGATATTTGAAGAATATTCTACATTAAAAACCTTGATATATAGTTTTTTTAAAAAAACTAAGAATTCTCTTTTCAACCCCCTCCTAACTTGTTTGCATAATCTAGAGTGGTATCAGGGTTTGTCTAGCTCAAGGAGCTCTTCCCCGTGCCGGTAAAGCCATTCTAACATTCCCCTGCAGGGGTTTCAGTGTTTTTCCAATTTTTGCTAGCAGGTTATTTATTTTCAGAGCCTGTGCTTTATGCACAGTTCTATTCGCTCGACAGCATTGTGTTTGTCCTGCTCCAGTGGGTAATATATTTACAAAGATCCAGCACACAGAGGGGACATGCTAAGAATGCTTGATCCACGCCGTGCAGAAGAAAGGCACGAGTTGCTATTTTTCAGTATTAACATTACACTTGTCATTTGGACAGCAGGGATATTCGATCCCCAGAGGAAGCCTGATGGTAGAGGCACACAGAAGGATGTCCCAGCTGCAGAGCAGTTATTTCTGCAATGCATCAGCTCAACTTCTGTGAGGGTAGTTGGAATCCATGATGTTATGTCTGATGGGAGGCAGGAGGATGTAAAGATGAAAGCTGAAGGTAACAAAGCTGGATCCAGAAAAATAGCTTCGTTCTCAATTTAGATCCACATCAAGATGATGTAGATGGCCTGGGTTTAACATTTCTGTACCTGACTAGATCTTATGAAGTCACAACATCATGGGAAGAGGCCACATGGGTCTCTGTGCCAGGACACATTAGCCAGAGCTGGCAAATAGCACAGTGGTCACTGCTGCCAGAATAGAACCTGACTCAAGGCGATGCTGCCCACTGCAGGAGCAGTGCTGTAGAAAAGCATCAGTCCTTGGCTGAGAGCCATCACTCAGTAGCATTGGAAGGTTATTCCGTCTAGGGGGCTGAGCAGGTGACCTGGGAAGCAAAGTCTGGTGGCCTAGTGTTAGATTGTAGGTCTGTGTTCTGGGAACCGCTCACTATGCAGCTGAGGATGACCTTAAATTTCTAACTATGCTGCCCTAGTTCTCAAGGGCTGTGATTACAGGCGTGCTCCACAGCATCCAGTTTAGGTGGTGCAGGGGATCAAATCTAAGGCTCATGGGTGCTAGGCAAGCACTCTACCAAATGAACTACTTCCCAGTCTCAAACGGCTGTCTAGAAAAGTAACAATAATTGAGGGGTGATAGACCTGTAACCCCAGGACTCAGATGGTCTAGGCATCAGGATGCCCTGAAGTCGAGGCCAACCTCAGTTACATAGTGAATGTCATACTCACTAGGGGTACAGAGGCAGATCCTGTCAACAAAACAAAACGAGACAGAAGGTAACACTAAAGTTGGAAGCAATGAATGATTAATAATAGGGACTGAATAGCAATATTGTGGTTTAGCTGGGATGGATGTGGATGGACAAGTGGGGGCCATGGGGAGAGCGTGGTTAATGGGCACACATGGACAAGAGGAATGACTTCGAATGTCCTCTAGAGGAGTAGAACTACAGATGACAACAATTAGGTGGATATTTCAGAGACAGCAGACGATTTTGAACATTCCCACCATAAGGAAGAGACACGTATAAAGGGCAGATTTCTCAGGTCCCTCATCGGATAGTTACACACTGGCATTGTAATGCCACGCTCAGTAACGTGTGCAATTGCTATGTCAGTTAAAATAAAAATATTAGAAAGAAAAATTAATGCATTCAAATTTTCAAATTATAAAATTATATTTACGAAACATATTTGTAATCACAAGGTCCAAATACCTAAATAAGTGTACCTTGAAAGCAAGTATTTCGAGAGCATGATCCTTTTCCAAAAGGCAAGACCTATCAACCTGGTAACCAATACAGGATAGGATCTTACTAGCAAATTATGTACGCACAATTAGTCTGCATATTACACGTGCATGTGTATGTAAGCCTAAGGAACGTAGAGCTGAGTATGAGAAATGGTCATCATCTTTGGTGGTAAATTTTGCAACAGCATTGTCCTTTTTTAATGAGGATGGATGAAGTTTTATCACAGGTGTTTTAGAAGTCATACACAATATAAGAAAAAGAAGCAAGTTCATAAGGATAACTCTCAAGGCTGCCCTTCAGACTCCACCCACGTGCGAACTATGTACACATGCGTGTGTGCATGTTGTTGTTGTTATAGTGAATAGACTGAACTCTGCTCAGTTGGCAGAATGTTTTTCAGAACATGTACACAGATGAAGTGGTGGTACAGGCTGTAACCCCAGCACTTGGGAGGTCGAGGCAGGAGGGTCATCCTGGGCTACAGGGTGAATTTGAGGTCATTTGGGAATAAATGAAGCCCTGTTTCAACAGACAAAGGAGCAAAAGAAGGGATGGACAAACAAGTCAGGCAGGTGCTTCATACTGTTGAAGTCTCCCTGATGCTCTCTAGGTAGGGGCCGGGCTGCAGACATTCTGAGCAGTTTGGTCTTGAGGGCATCCTCTCTGTCAGCACCACGGACAGAGCAGGAGTGCCTGGGGCTTTTCAGTCTCTCCCACTTGCTGTTTCTGCCTGAGTACCTAGGGAGCCAGGACTATCCTCTTCCCATCTGGCTCACAGCCAGATGCTCAGATAAAACTGCTCTCCCCCTTTCAGATGCTTCTCTAGACACCCTTCCTGCAGATACTCTCCCCCTTCCAGAAGCTTCCCTAGAAACTCTTCCCTGCAGATACTCACCCACTTCCAGAAGCTTCTCTAGACACACTCCCCTGCAGATACTCTCCCCTTCCAGATGCTTCTCTAGACACTCTTATCTGCAGATACTCTTCCCCTTCCAGATGCTTCTCTAGACACTCTTCCCTGCAGATACTCACCCTTTGCCATATGTTTCTGAAACTGTTTTTCTTTTAAATACGTTTTCTCCTCCACAAATGCTCCTTTAAACAGAAAAGCTTCTCTCTGTAGAAATGTTTTCTCATCCAGATAATCCTCCTCCTCCAGGTAATCGCTCTCCTCCAGAAATTCCTCCTCCTCCACAAACTCCTCATCCTCCAGAGACTCTTCGCTATCCATATACTCCTCCGACACATACTCCAGACTACCCAGAGATTCCTCCAGTGAACTCTCATCTTCCTGTTCTTCGCTATCCTCTCCATCCGAGGAAGCTGCCACTGTGTAATGTTTAGGAGCCACAGTAGGGCTAGAACCCGAGGGCTCTGATGATGAAGTATCATCAGACATGATGGAGAAGCCTAAGCAGATGAGTAGATGAGTCCTTTAAGTAGCAGGTAATGTCACAACGTCACTTTACCAACCTGGGAGCCAAGAAAGGAATAAAACCCCATTAGTAAGTACAAGCCCACCGAATAGGATAGAAATCCATTTTGTCCACTCAATTCCTTCAGTAGTCTCTGGAGGCCCTTTGTGTGTGCAGATAAGTGAGTGGTGGCACGAAGGGCTGCCTCTTCCCCAAAAAGAAGGACCGGAGGCTTCGCCCTCAGTAGCTGGTAGGGGATATACACAGCACACTGTGAAGTAGGTAGGCTGGCCAGTGAAGGCATGGCTGGGGACTGCTGATGTGACTGCCAGAGAACTTCTGCATTTATTTGCTGAGAAATACTCATTGCCACAATAAACAGAGGTGCACCATCCAGGCCCCTGCTCAAAGATGAACTGTTCTAGCGTGTGCCTTTAATCCCAGCACTTGGGAGGCTGAGGCAGGTGGATCTCTGTGAGCTCGAGGCCAGCCTGGTCTACAGAGTGAGTAGTTCCAGGGTAGGCTTCAAAGCTGCACAGAGAAACCATGTCTCAAAAAACAAAACAAAACAAACAAACAAAAGATGAACTTTTCCCAGCTATGCAATCAGCTCCCATTTGCCAGGGCCTTCAGTATCTGCCTGTGACTTTTGCCTGGAGCTGGGCTCCTTTAGAGACAGCTAGCTTGTGACTAAGGAAGCCCAGCCAGCTTCAGGTGGGATGTCCAGGTGACAGTCACCCTATAGTTCTCCAGTAGCTTGGTCCAAGTTCCCAAGTTTGCCCTACAAGCACTATCTAGCCCCCTTCTTTCTAGGAGGTCAAGGCCAAGAAAGACTTTGCCTCTTCTAGTCTGTTCCCAAGCTGTGGTAGGCAGCTTCATGACATTCTGGAAGAAAACTGAAATTAGAAATTAATAAAGAGAAAGGAGGTGTGATAGTTAATACTGAATGCCAGCTTGAGAGGATGTAGCATCACCCAGCAGACAAAGCTTCTCCAGGCTTTCCTGGGAGGGTTTAATCTAGATTAGATGAATTGAGCTGGGCAGGTTTACCCTGAAAGTAGGCAGCTTCATTCCCAAGGCTAGTGTCCCGTTTTGACTACATGAAAAGGAGAAAGAATAAGCATTCCTCTCCCTCTGCTTCCTGGCTATGTTTGCAATGTGACCCTCCGCCTCAAGCTCCTGCAGAGTGGTGACTACCTTAACTGTCATCATAGAACCTTCACTCAGTTCTGATGGAAGCAGATGCAGAGATCCACATCCAAGCTCCAGCTTGAGCTACAGGAGTCCAGTCGAAGAGAGGGAGGAGGGATTATATGAGCAATAGGGAGTCAAGGTCATGATGGGCAGACCCACAGAGTCAGTTCACCCAAACTCGTGGGAGCTTACAGACTCTAGACCGACAGCTGGGGATCCTGCATGGAATCGAACCGGGTCCTCTGCATGTGGATGACAGTCTGTAGCCTGGGTTGTTTCTGGGACCCCTGGCAGGAGGATGAGGATCTATCCCTAGTGTGTGAGCTGGCTTTTTGAAACCCATTCCATATGGTGAGATGCCTTGCTCAGCCTTGATGCAGGGGAGGGGGTATTGGTCCTGCCTCAACTGAATGAGCCAGGTCTTTCGATTCCCCATGGGAGGCCTTACCCCTTTTGAGGAATGGATGAGGGTGAGACGAGGGGAGGTGGGTGGGAGGGGGAGGAAGGGAGAAAAGGGAAACTGTGGTTGGTATGTAAAAAAAAAGAAAAAGAATTTTGTGGCTGAGTATGGTGGTACTGGGGAGGCAGAGGCAGGTGGATCTCTGTGAGTTTGAGGCCAGCCTGGTCTACAGAGTGAGTTCTAGGAAGCCAAGGCTATGTTGAGAGAACCTGTTTCAAAAAACAAAACAATGAGGGGGGGAGGAATGGGAGGGAGGAAAGAGGGGAAACTGAGGTTGGGATGTAAAATAAATAAATGGAATAAAAAAATATAAAAATAAAACAAAACAAAACCAAAAATCAACCAGCATACAAAAGAATTTTGTATGAGCTAGTTGATTATCCAATTCCAAATGGTCAGCCCTGAAAACATGCGTACAAAGAACCTTAAACAGACTAGGTATGGAAGAGAGCAAAGAAAGGATATGTGAGAGTTTGGAGGGAGGAAAGGGAAGGGGGAAATGATGTAATTATATTATAATCTCAAAAATTAAGCCAGGCGTAGTGGTGCACACCTTTAGTTTTAGCACTAGAAGCAGAAGGAGAAGATCTCTGAGTTTGAGGCTAGCCTGGTCTACAGAAGCAGCACAGAGCATCAAGGGATACACAGGGAAACCCTGTCTCACAAAAATTAAAAACATGTAAAGTAACATATGAAAGCACAAACATCTTCCAAATAGGGAAAAAAAGAGAATTTTGTGGTAGAGTGTGCTGCGTGAGTTTTCCCGGGGAGGTGAGACAAACATGCATTTACCCCCGATGGACACAGCCAGCAAAAAGAGAGAGACTCTTCTTTTCTAGTCCAGCGTGGGGAGCCACTGTGTTTATTGGGGATTATTATAGCATCATGGGCCGGGCGTAAATCACAGGAGAGTGAGTGACTCCGAGGAACTACATCACTGGAAAGCCCATTCCAGGCTGGGTGCTGATGCAGAAGCTACATCCCGGGCTCTGGGCATCTTCAGTTGCTGGGGGCTCCTTTCCCTGCGCAATATCTGACTACTCATGTACGAAGCACGATTAATAAAAACTCAGAGAGAGAAATCGGGGTTCAACCTGAAGATTCAAAAAAGCAAAACAGTCAGCCACTGGCTCTTACCTCAACCCCATTCTGAAATGGCGGTCCTGCCTCCAGGAATCTCAGAATGAGATTGTGTCTGACAGCTGTCTCCTCCCATTTTATAATCCTCTTTAGTTCTGGGATTAAAGGCATGCACTGCCCGGTTTCTATGGCAACTAGTGTGGCTACTGGGATTAAAGGTGTGTTTTACGATTACCTGGTCTGTAAGGCTGACCAGTGGGGCTGTTTTACTCTCAGATCTTCAGGCCAGCTTTATTTATTAAAATATAATTGAAATGCCACTACACATGTAACCTTGAGCCCTTGGGAGCCTCTTAAGTTTTGTTTGCTTCTTGAGTCTTCAAAACTTTCTCTTCAAGAGGGAAGATTTTAAGTCCAAGGAAATAGTTATACAACAGATGGTCTCAAAAGACAGAACTACCAGGAGCAAGTTCAATCCATAAAGAGTCGGAGGACCCGAATTCCACTCCAGAGAGAAGATGAGTGTGGTGATGTCCACTTATAACCCCAGACCTGAGTCTCCCTGGGCAGTGGGCACAACCCAAGAGGATGTCCTAGGCAGGAGAGAGATCCTAGTTCCAAAAATAAGGTGTATGTAACCTGAAGAATAACACCTGAGGATGACCTCTGCCCCCACCCCCCAGTAACACATTTAGTTTAGATCTAACTGACTTTTATTTGGGATTCATGGATGTGGGCAGCTTCTATCCTAGAAAGACCCCTCCACTCCACTGTCCCACCTCCAACTGCTTCCTACTGCCCCCACCGCCCGCCTGCAGTAGAACAAGGAAACAGACAATGGGGAGACGTGCCAAGAACAGTGAATCAACACTTTGGGTTCCTTTTCTATTGTAAGAGTGAAGCAGAAGGGTTTTTCTTATTATATCGACTCCATCCATTAGAATTCTCTATTTGCAGGAAAGAACAGCCACGTTAGGGATCTACTTCCTTGAAATTTAACTTCTAGCTGGACCCTAGTTGGGCAGGTCTGTAATCTCAGCTACTTGGGAGGCTGAGGCTGGGCAGTCACAAGTTCAAGGCCGCTGTGAGTTACATAGTGAGTTCAGGACCAGCCTGAACAACTTAATGAGACTCTGTCTCAAAATAAGAAGTAAAAAATTAGCCTATGGATGTCAGTCAATGACAAAGTGCTTGGCTAGCATGGATGACATAGGGCTCTAGGTTTAGCACCCAACAGTGGGGACAAAATTCTGTTCAAGTATGTCGCATTTAGCATGAAAACTGATCATGGCTGGTCTGGTCTGCCAAGGCGAGAACAGAAGCTTAGTGTACAGTTGCCTTATTCTTATTTATCTGAAGGTGTTTAGGGAACTGTTCCTATTAAACCAGCTCCACAGCAAGAGGATTCTTGTGGCCTGGGTCTAACCAGAGTCGATGGAAGATTCTGGGAGCTGGGCCTGAAGCTGACTTGCTTTGAGCCGTTTTCTGGTGCTGATGTCTTCATGTGGGTGTTTTGGAGGAAGGTAGGGATGAATAACATATGTGATGGTGTGATAGAGGCGGCTACCATGCGGAAAAGGGTGGATGTCAAGAAATGCCTGACCTAAACCTGCATCTACATACAACTCTCCCTGTTCTATGAAGCTTTATTGAACTTGAAACTTAAGCGTACCGCCTAGGATTGCTGTCAGCATCTACATCCTAGCTCCTTGTGCCTCCAGCTTCGGATGGTGAGAGCAATCAGAAATAAAAGAATCTTTAGCTGATCAAACTTCAGCTGGGCTCTGGGACTTTCTTTTAGGTTCATCCACATTATAAAATTTAACTGTTGCAAGAACTCTGCTAAGAGGTTAGCAACAATCCCCATTCTTGAGATCTCATCATCACCAATATCAGATCAGGGTCCTCACCCTCCACCATTCTCCAGGCCATATTGGATTCTCAGCAAGAATCCTGTCACATCCATTTTACTATAAACCCCCTTGCACCTGGTATCTAACTTTTCATGCATCCTATTTCATCCTGATGTTACACTCCCTAGTCCTCCCCAGATGATGTAACACTCCCTGATCCTCCCCAGATGATGTAACACTCCCTGGTCCTCCCCAGATGATGTTACACTCCCTGGTCCTCCCCTGATGATGCTGCATTCCCTGGTCCTCCCTTGATGATATTACACTCCCTGGTCCTCCCCTGATGATATTACACTCCCTGGTCTTCCCCTGATGATATTACACTCCCTGGTCTTCC